AGTTCAGCGGAGGATCCCTGAACTATCCTTATTGGACCCCAGGACCTTTCGCAGCGGGTGGACCTGGTCCAGGCAAAGCTCGAAGCCAACCCTCGAGCGGAGCGGGTCGACGAGATGGATGCCAGGCTCAGCTCCATCAGCCTTTCCACGAGTCAAGAGCTCCGCTTCCTCGCGCAACAGTTGCGAGACCTGGAGGGCACCTTGAGCAAGCGGGCAGACAGTGCCGAGAAGGCCACCGAGCGTTTGCAGGTGCAAGTTCAGGACGTGGTCTCTGTCATGAAGGATCTGCCGATGGCCCTGTTGTCAGGGCCCAGCTTGCAATCGGACGTTGAGGACCGCATGCTGCAAGCCCTGGAACGAAAAGTCGACCTGGCATCGCAGGACTTGCGGTGTCAGCTCGAATCGCAGATCGCGCAGATGTCAAATCGAGACCACTGGCAGCTGCAAAGCGATGCGCGTGCTCTCGAAGATGTAAGAGACATAAGATCGCAAAAGTTGGCCTTCGAAGTGCGGAAGGAGTTTGAGCAGAAGCTGGCAGACAACGGAATGGCCACGCAGCAGTTCATGAGGGAATTGCGCCAGGAGCTCGAAGCTCGAGCATCTCAGTCGCAGCGGCAGGGAGAAGAGCTGCGACGAGAGATGGAGCTGAAACTGGAGAGGAAGTCCTCGGCATCAGAAATGGCCATGGAGGAGCTTCGGCACACACTGGACAACATGCGCACCCAGCAGCAAGGAACCTTGCACAAACTCTCGGAAGACATGAAGCAGATGAGTGCGGAACTGGAAGTCCGATTAGTCAAGGCACAGGGGTCGAGCCAGAGGTTGGCAGCTGAGCTCCACAAAGACTTGGACGCCGAGATGCAACTCAGACCTGTGGATACTTCTTGCGCTAAAAACAGGCACAGCTTTTGAAACTTTCCCTCCGTGCGAAGGAGGTGAACCTGACCGAGACGAGTCGGCAAGTGTTGCACGAGGAACGACAGCAGTTGGTCAGCGAATTCCGGCAGGAGTTCGAGCTGCGCAGCCTCACTCGCTGAAAGCCGCTGAAAGCCCACCTCCTGTCAGGACCTGGAGCGACGCCTGCAGAGAAGCAATGGCCAGGCAATCGCCTCGTGGTTAACTTTGCCGCACTTTCCGCGGAAGTTTCTGCTGGAGTGTCTGGAGTGTTGCCACGTCGAGAGGCAAGCAGTGACCAGGTCCGACTAGCTGCCGAGGACTGGGTGTGGGTGTCAGACACGGCAGCGGGTAGCGTGATTGCGCCGCCCGAGCAGTCGAGGAGATCCGGCAGCTCAGAGCAGCCATGGACAGTACACGGGAAATAGCAGAGACTTGGCGGGAGGATCTTAGCTCTATGGATTTTTTGGTCGGTCAGTTGCGTTGCCATTCTTCCACATGTGGCCATCCCACTTGCGTTGGATCCAGGAAGAGGCACGCCGAAGCCCTGCTGCAGTTGGCAGTCAGTTTTTGCCTGGGGTCTTCTTTGAGTGCTCTCTATACTGATGACGTGAGGAGACGTGGTCGAGTTCCTTTCGCGTGGATCAGACGACTCCTTCCTTGAAGCCGCGGAGCGAGCAGCACAAGTCACGGCCAGCTCCTTGGAGGTCGGCGATCGGAAGTGAAACGAAATTCTACCGCCAGCCTGCGGCACCATTGGGCCGTTGCAGGATCGCTTTTGCGAGCGGTTGGATCGCTGCGATGCAGCTGCCAGCTCGTGTGAACAACTTACGAAAGAGATGGAGAATCGCCTGCGCCAAGCGCCTCGGCATTTAGAGCCTGAACGACATTTCGATTGTTCTTGCAAACATCCTTGTCGAGGTCTCGAGCGAACTTCGTGCACATCAGCAGCTGGTGAGTGTTCTTGCACCCTCACTGCAATCGGTGGAAGCTGATTCCGCACCTCTGCTACTTAACAGTGGATGTTTTCAGTCGAGGGCTGAGGGGCTGATCTGCTGGTTATTTACCACCAGAGAGGTGGCAACAGCAACAGCTGCTGCAACAGCTGCGGCTGCGGCTGCAACAGAAGTGCTCTCAGAGGTCCGGAACAGTCCTGCGATGAGGCGCCATCCACATTGTGAGTTGCTGATGGAACACAGGGTCTGTTACAAAGTCACTGCAGTCATGCACAGGTCACTGCGAAGTAGCCCGTCGAGGTCCCTGAACTCCACAACACAGGAGTTGTTCTTTGCCCGCACATTAAGTATGTCATTGTACGAAGTTTACGGAGCGGCTTGCACTGATACGTGCGAGGTTTCGCCGTTCAGATGAAGCAATGTCAGAGCAGCCCGACTCGCGCACTTGCCCAATTTCACCGATCTCTGAAGAAGCAGAGGCGAGGTTGGCTGCGAACGTCATTCGGGCACATGTCCTCATTTCCGGCTTTGCATGATAGCAACGGGTTCACTACACTTCTGCACATTTTGGAACATAACCGGTCTCCTGGAAGCCTGTAAGCTGCACACGCTTGTGGGCAGTATGCACGACGAACACCTCAGCTGGCCGGCCCTCACAGAGACCCACATGACGCCGCCCGACAAATGATCGACGGCTACACCGTGACTCACAGCACCACTGAAGAATTCGACGCAGCAGGGCAAGCCCACACAGACTTTCAGGCGGGGCCTCAGTCACGGCTCACACCTACCGATGGCCGATTCCTCAAGTTCACCATTGAAGCCCCACTCAGCATACTGGCGGTTTACACCCCGCAACCAGCACGAGCAAGCATGAGCGGCTTTTGGCAACAACTCACGCAATGTCTCACTTCTCACAGACAACACACTCCAAATCCATTGCTGGGGATGGGCGACTTCAACGCTTTATTTCTGGATGAGCTGGCGGCAATCCCACAAGCAGATCCAAGGCAAGACTGCCGAGGAGGATGAAGCAGACGCGACAACAGATGGGACACCAACCAGCGACAATTCCACGACTTCATTGCTTCACAGGATCTCTGCATCCAACAAAGCTGGATAGAGAAGCAAATGCAGCACATCCACACTCGCCAACGCCCCAAACGCGACTTAGTACAACTTGACCATGCTATCGTTTTCAAGGACTGGCGAAACATCATCCACAACGTCCACACTCTCACAGGCGCGAGCAACTACAACATGGTCAAGGTCGAACTTCTCGTCAAACCGAATGAGTCAAAGCGATCTACGCGGCTCTCCACACAGCCGACAGACTCAGCCTTCGGTAAAATCATCAGCGAGATGATGCTTACCGAGAACCACGACACCGACAACTCACAGCCACCCCACAGCCTTCCTTCCACAACCCCCGCAGCCTCACAACACTTGGGCAGCACGCAACACAGCAGCCACCACGGCGCTTCAGGAAAACATTCCGACCGAAGTGTCCATCCCAAAACACCCATGGATCTGACAACAAGCCCGGACACTTGATACAACACGCAGCACAGCACGGCGCTCACAGTTTTGAGATATTCGCAAGCAGGCACGCAAAATCATACACTTCAAAAGCCCATAATAAACAGAACGTCCGCTCTCAACTCACACACCATCCACAAAGCACAGCTGAAGCCTTGTGGACACATTCTTCGATCCAATCCGACTTGTAAAGAGCAGAACTGTTGTTTTACAAGCAGTTTTCAGTACGGAGGTTAAGGGTGGATAGACGAAGGGTCAAGTAGACAGAACGGTGTACCAGGCTAACTTGACCCCGCCTTCCTCTCACAGCCCCTCCCTCTCACAGCCTTACCTTCAAAAACAGGTATCTACAGACTCAGACTAGTTGTAGACCGCCATTTCCTGAGCCGCTTAGTCAGGCTGCCAACGTGCAGGACCCTCCTCACCGCTAGCTCGTTTCAGATTTGCTCACGGACTTGTGAGAGAGAGAGGTGAGTCTAACCTGCGGTACGTGTACTGTCTTCCCCCGAAAGCCCCATAAACCATGGGGGGCGGTAGGGCCGCTGCTTGGAGTTGTGCTGCGTGAGTGTTGCATAGGGCCGCCCAGTGTTGCCATGTGTGGCAGGTGGATGAGCAAAGCTTCATCATACAGGGCCGGCGACAAAAGAACAGGGATTTGAGCGTGGATGTCGACCAATTCAGCCTGCAACAGAAAGTAGCAAGGCGCCCAGGCTGCAATGATACCGCATTTCGTGATGCGGTAGTGGCGTGGCAGCATGTGCCTCTCATTCACAGAGATGACTTTCCCAGGAGCCTTGCGGGCTTGGAGGATTGAAGCTGACACGATGCGGTCGCTGGCCCGTGTCAGCGCATGTCAGCACATCCTTGCCACAAGCTCTGGGATCCTGGCGCACTCGGGAAACATGACTGCGAGATCTGATTTGAAACATACTCCAGACCTGAATCTGACGAGCTAATGCACATGAACGTTTCTTAGACTGTGGGCAATGAGGCATCAGCTGCCCGCAGCATGACATGTTGTACAAAGCTTATTGTGCTCCTTGCGCTCCTGTGTAGCAGCAAGCCATGGCCCCTGTACCATATGCCATATGACGAAACGCCTTGCGGCAAAAAAACAGTTTCTGATCATCGCCTACGTGTGGTTCGATGACGGGGCATGTTTAGCGCGGGCTGCTTGCAGGCAAGTGGCTCTGCAGTGGCGAGGCCAGTCGCAACGTGCTGCATGGAGCCTGTGAGTCCGGAGCATCGCGGAATCGGCATTCACATGCCAGGAGCCCGGAGAATCTCCCGGTACCTTGTTCAACCGAAGTTGAGGCCGTGTTGGGGAGAGCCTGGACTGCACTTACTTGCCTTCCTCGTGAACGAATAGTGAGACGTTCTCCTTCCAAAAATACAGGGGATGGATTGATGGAGCCAAGAGTTCCGATTCGGATGCACTCTAGGTACGATTCAGGGATGAGCCGCCCTTGGACAAAATGCCATAGGAAGCCAGAAGCGTATTCGACAGTCTTCTTCGCCCCTAGTTTATTCAGGACCTATCCAGAATCGGATTGAGGCTCCCGTTTAACTTGCAGCGGATGGCCGAGAACAAACGAAGATTTACGGCTGTTGATGACAAATGAGCTCGTGCGGCTAGTGCAGGCATTCAACGTGGAACATGCTTTCTCCAGGTGTTTTCCGCGTTTGGGCCGTGGTGACTGCTTGCGTGGCGTCCTTCTTGTTCCGCTCCGCCTGCATTCTCTATCTGTTTTGTGCCAACAAGTGGCTCGGCTGAAATTGCCGGAGCATCTGCCTAGCCGTGCAGATGGCCGATGTTCTGAGGCAGTTCTGGCCTTGTGCCTTGCTCCTGCCATACTACTTAATCTCCGAGGCAGGATGTGGTTTGGCTTGGGGCGCCAGTGCAGTGTAAAGCAATGCTGTGGGGCTGATGACGATGTACCCCCCTGCCCTCCCAACAGACTCAACATGGTTTGGCCAGACCCTGGAGCCGTGCCGAAACCCTGAAGAATGCTATTCTGAGTGCTTCTCGTGTCTAGAAGGCATGTAGAAGTGCAGTGGGCCAGCATGCCCCTTGCAGGCTGCCCCTGCGGCCATGCTGATCTTGCTGTACCTTCTGTAGCAGCCTCAGCTCCATGACAGCAGAACTTGAACAAGGGCTGCGCCAACCACAACTTGATTTGAACGCCGAGAGGCCCCCAAACCACGGAGTGAGAAAGTAGAGTGTCTCATCCTGCCCGAAGCTCTGACTCTGGGTTGCTGCGCTGAGGCCTGGAGTCGAGGTGGCTTGCCGCGCCCGTGTCGCCTGGGCCTCAGGCTGCGTGCGCTGCAAGGAGTTGGACAAAGCAAGGAGTTGGAGTTTCGAAGACGTTCCAGGCAGTTCCAGACCGAAGCTCTTGCCGTGCCTCTCTGCTGGAGAGCGAGGCCCAAACACAGACAGCGCGTCAGCAACAGCGGCGCCATGCGTGTCACGATGTGTCTTGTTCCAGGCACAAACCCACCAGAGCTTCTCCTTGTGGCTGCGAGCAAATGAGCCAGCGGTTGCTGTCGACGAGTCAGCGGGTAGCTTGCGATCCCCAGCAGACCCAGCACACTGATTCGAGCAGCCCCAAAGCGGGCTGTCTGTCGGTCTCTGGCTTTCCTATCAGAAGGTGGGGAGAGCTTGAAGGCATGTTTCCAAGCGGGCATTGCGTTGCTGCCGCTCCGCAGAGTTTCGTGAAGTTTCAACAGCGGGGGCAGCTTCTTTTCATGAAGCTTCCAGCGCCTTTTCTCGTGCCGTTGGGTGCTTGATGGTGTTCGACTGAGGCTTCATGAACAAGGTGCCAACGACCTCTACTGCCACTCGATGCAGGCACCAAGCTCAAGCATGGTTGGCCACGTCGAAATATCAGCATTGAAGCAGCTCCATAAACTGGTTTGCAAGGCTGCTCATCAATCAACTCGACGCTCAAGGTGCCGATGCTACCTCCCCTAGTGATGCCAATCAAGCTTCTCCGAGCTTGCCGCAGTTCTTGTCAGGCGAAACGCTTCAGTGGCTTATCACATGAATCAAGTGTGCTGAAAACCAATGTTTCAGCAGAACGCTCGCCATGTCACCCTTGTGATTTCCTGTCTCAAGCTTAACTGGTCCTTAACTGGTCCTGATGGTGGAAGGTGCCGCAAACTTGTCTTGAGATTTTGCATCGCCCGGTTCTGTGGCTCGGTGCTCGGCTGAATCTGAATGTCGCCGGCCGGAACCTTTCCAATCAGATTGGCGACTAGAACGTCCCCCTGACTAGGATGCGCTTACTTTGGAAGCCGCCGCTGCAAGGCACATCTGATGAAGTCAGGGCTGGCGACATTCAACCGCACGCTGGTTCTCGTGATGCTTCATGCATGCTGGAGGTGAGCCGAAGTCGTGCGATACTTCACAATCCAAGGGCGGTGTACTTGGGCGGTTTTTCCTGCTTGCAGGGATGCATGGCTTCATATGTCTCAATGATGTTGTGCTCCGGTAAGACGACACGGGTCTCGTCCCCCAAGGCTGGCAAATAGTGGTACCTGACTCAGAAATCAGGTGTTTACATAAGGTTTCCGTGCTTTATTTGGCGGAGTGCTTGCAAGTGCGACTCAGGCTAAGCCCTCGCCAAATTAGAACTCTCGGATGCGACAATGCCTCGGACAAGAGTAACTGCTCAACCGAACCTATCAAGACACCCTTCCAGGTTGTCCATGGCATCTCTTTCGGCGATGCTGAGTGCTCATGCCACTGCCTCAGATGCGTCGCAAGGGTCTGATGCGGAAGCGACGTTTTGATGCTTCGGAGCTCTCAGGTAGACGAGATCTATCCACAGGACCGACAAAACAAACTCCACACGATGTTGCGAGCCATGGGCCTCCATTCGAGAAAGGCGGTCCTCTTCTTGGCAGGAGCCGGCGAGCGTTGGACAGTCTCCTAGAACATCGCAGAGGCAAGGCAGGCCACCTTCCGCCGTTGCTGCAGCCTCAGAGTATGGTTGTGGACGCTTGCCACTCCAAGCATGGTTGCGGTTCCGGCAAGGCTTCCCTGCGGGCGCAGTAGACCCTTGCCGGTCCCGGTGGGCAGGACGTTGCAAACCTGAGCTCCTTCCTGAGTTGATGTTCTGTTGAACTCGGAATTATTGACTGCCGACTAGTTAAAGCTTTCTCATAGCTTTCCGCCTCTGCTGCTCCAATTTCCTGTGCGCTTTGGCCACTTTGACTTCAAAGAGGCCAAAAGGGTTGGGACATGTCCCAAGCCTCAAGACTTCAAAGAAGGATATGTTGGTTGAAAAGGACGAATCGATGGGACAGAACGCCCGAGATTTTGGGGTGAAGCTGCGAAGAATGGTGCGAAGCGACCGCTGGACATGCAAAGTGTTCCACCGCGGGGCACTGCAAGGCAGACCGGCGTATCAAAACGAGTGCGAGTCCGTACCTCCTGTCCAAGAATCCAGAATTTCGATTTGCCAGTTGATCTGCGCTTATCGGGCAGCAGACCGAGACAACGAGTCAAAATGTTCGGCTGCTGCTGCTGCTGCTGCTGCTGCTGCTGCTGCTGCGGGTGGTTGCCTTTTCCACAGCACACTTTGCGCCGTAGGTCAAGCCTCCGGGAAGCTGGAGTCATCAGGTTGGGCCTCGTTGATGTGTGATTGGGAAGTCTTACTGCGAATCCCTGGCGAGGCTGGTGTTTGCCAGAGATGCCTTCGTCTGCGACCCTTGCGGTCTTGCCCAGGTCCGTCGCATGCCGTCCAAGCAGAGTAGAGAGAGATACAGACAGAGTCGGAAAAAAGAACGAGCAACTTGTCTCTCTGTCTGTAGTGTCGACCCACGTGTTGGTGTCACTGTTCGCCTGTCTCCTTCTCCGCGCCATTTTGAAAGTCACCTTCAATCCAATACAGTAGTCTGCAAACAGCCTTTGTGCTTTCATCATTGCTCCGCTTGATCCGTTGGTGTACACCTGCATGCTGTCATGGGACAGAGAAGAAGGTGAGCCAAGACGTCCTTGGCAGAAGCATTCGCAACATGCATCAGATCCATTCTGCCGACTGCAGGCATTTGTTCCACAGTCCCTCAGAGTGGCAGACGACAGAGAGTCTAAGAAGCAGAACGAGCCAGACAACACGCGTGCGCGAGAAGCGACAGTTCCGAGACCACCGCCTGTAGCTTTGGTGGATGGGTGGATGGGATGCAGGCCCCACGTCCTGTCCAGTCGTGCGAAAAAAAACTCACGACTTGGCCCTTGCACTTTGTCCTGTTTCATAAGCCTCGTCGTTACTAGTTTGGACCATCCTCCCGCGGCTGCACTTCGCGTGCTGCATCGACTAGAGATCTAACTCAATTTGGATGTGTTTATTCTGAGAGCTTGCCTTCTATGCACCACCTGCCCGTCTTTTTCACATGCTGCCTTTTGGCATGGAAGGCTGGCTCCCCAAGAGCTCGGCAACATTGGGCAGGCCAGGGCAATAAATCGCCGTGTTGCCTGCGCTTCCGTCTTGTCCAGGAGCCCGGCACTGAGCTCCATGCAGGTGGCCCTGTCTTGAGGGCCGCTGCAGGAGAGGCAAAACAACGCCTGGAGGCAGCCAAGGGAACAGCGAGTACTCGCCCACTGGATGCTCCTAATCGTTGAACCGAGTTCTTGTCAGGCCGATAGCTTCGAAGCGCAGGGCTTGCCCTCTTCCCAGATGCACTCAGCTCTCGCATGCTTTTGCAGTTGCGCACCAGGACTCCGCTTGCTCGATGATGGGTGCTAGCTTGGCTCAACTCAACACAGCACGGCGAGCATTGTTTCACCCACAGCAGCATTCACGAGCAACGGCCGTTTATCTCAGAGTTCGCTTGAATAGGTCGGATTTGCACCTTGGCGAGCTGTCAGAGCTGAACGGCGGTGCGCAATGGGGACGGCGTGCGGGTGCTTTGCCGGTTTGACGGGCGAGGCCGGGGACCAACCTTGTCAGCTCACTCCGAATCCTTCGAGAGTTCCCCGTGCACAGACGCAGGCTCCAGACAGGCGGCGGACGGAGCAGTCGCCAGCAGTGGGTGCCATGCTCACGTCTTCCCATCGGCAAGCACGGGATTTTGGGTTTGTGTCTTGCCAATGCAGGCTCTTCAAGCTCAGCTGCCAAGCAGACGCCACCAGTGGAGGACAGGCATGCTTTCGTTGTAGTTGCTTGCGCAGATTGCGACAGCAGGACAATCAGCCGACGCACCCACCAACACCGACAGCACCCGATGAGAAAGGAGACGATGCCTGTGGTAGCCACAGCAGGTTCAGTGGCATCCTCTCAGGATATGATCTCCTGGAAGACGTGAGGACGTGGAAATCGGGGTCGGGAGGCGGCATGCAGTTGCAAACTTATGTGTGGATTTCAACGGCGGGCACCAATTGAGTCTGTGGTAAATCATTTTGTGGTGCCCAACTTCTTGATAAGCTCGGCGCCGAATCTGCTAGGAGTCATCGACATCTCACCTGATGGCTCTTCCCGTGTACTTCTGCAACCGCCGGGCCAGATCGACAAGGAAGCAAGTGCTCCAGCTGACGGTGCTGAGGCTGGAGACAGAGCTCCACGCATCCATTTGTCATCTTGTCATCCTTGGCTGGAAAAGGCAGCAACAAACCAAGTGTAGCATGCAGACCGTGCGCGTTGTTTTAATGGTCTTGGAAGGTCGGCATCGATGTGGAGGTGCTCGAAATTGTCGGCCCTTCGCTCGAGACACGCTTCTCTTGCCGTGGCTTACGCACAGCTTCGGGGAGTGGTGATGTTCGGCTACCTGAGGAGCTGGAGTTTCCCACCTCAAAAGTGCAACTGCACATGGTATGAATATGAATGGCCGGAATGCCTTGCAAGGTTTGCAATCCCGCACCTCAAAAAGCCTGCCGGAACCTTCATCGTTTTCTGTTGCTTGCCTGCATATCAGGGTACAGATGGCGCGGCCGAGAGAGAGAGAGGGAGAGAGAGACACGTACCTCTGGAGCCAAAACCAGCAGCACCTACAAGCCCTGTTGCGGCTCCTAGAAGGGGAGCTCGCGAAGGATGGCCTCCACATCCACCCCGAGAAGACGGCAGTTCTGTGCAGCCAGAGCACCACGGACACTTTCACCATCAAGGGGGAGACCGTCCCCAGCCAGCCGCCGGACAGCA